AAAAAAAAAAAAAAAAGCCTGGCAGGGTTGGGGGTGAGAGGAGTGAGGATAACTCAGTGGTAAAGCACCCCTGGATTCAAACCCCAGTACAAAAAAAGAAAAGATGTATCTTGAAAATCTATTCAGATCTTGAAGATGAAATGGACATTGGAAAAGAGCTAGGGGTGAGGGATAAGGACACACTGAAAACACTGCCAAATTTGTATCTTGAACAACAAAGTGGATAGTAAGACCAAGCTTTTAATATCAAAGAAAAACTCAAAGACATGTGGTTATTTACCTGTAAACAAACTTTTTCACATATAAAGACACAAAGGAATAAGGGCAAAAATTATACTTATGAGAGAAAATAAAAACTACAGAAAGTCTGGAAACACTTATTCTCATTTTTACATTTTTCAAAATAAATTGACTAGCTGGCAGCCAAGAGGTGAATCTAGGCAGTCTGTCCTTGGGAAGCTTGTCCTTGCTGTAACAAAGAAAACAATTTCAGTTGTATTGGGTTCTTTCCAAACCCTGAGAGTTTGCTGGGGAGCACTATGGGATGAGCTGTCAAAGTTTGATGTCTACCAAGACCCTTTCAGTAACATATCCACCTTAGCTGAGGCAGCCCTGAACCATTTCCCACATCAGTATTTAACTGTCTCCTTTTTGGTCAAAACAAATTCCAAGAAATGCAAATTTCACCATAAAGTTTTCAGATGCTCTTTGATATATTATTATTACTTATATATCAACTCAAGATAAGCCAAGATCTGCCAACTGCATTCCATCTATCTGGGTGACGAGATAAGCAATGAGAGATCATGCAGGGCCTATTGATCAGGTAACAGTTTTTGTTCTTTACCCTAAGAAACCACTAAAGAGAAACCACTAAACAGATGAAATCAAGAAAGGAACTTAATTAAAACCTTAATTTTTAAAATTTGGTAAAATTTTATGGTATTTATAAGAATTACAAAGTTGTCTACTGACTATATGCTAACATTAAGAAATCATTATTAATTTTCTTTTAGGTGTAATAATGGTATAGTGGTTATAGTTACCAAAAAAGTTCTTATCTTTTAAATATGTAAATGTTAAAATATTAGTGAATGAAATAAAAGAAAATTCGGTGCCATCTGTATATAAATAGATATATATGAGTGGAGGCAATTATCTGTGTTATGTAGTAAAAGGAATACTGAAAATGAATTATACCTTGAGGAACTTTAATTAAAAATTAGAAACATGAGGATAAGCAAAGAAACTAGACACTCTAGAGGTCAAGAGTCAGAAATTTCTATCAAGCAAAATAAAAAGAAGTATATACTAAGCACATTGTAGTGAAAATTATAATTTGTCTTTGCAATACTATAATTTCACTACAGTGTACCTGGCATATAGATATAAAAGACGATTCCAATGTGCCTAGGAATCAGATATAAAAGACAGACTACCTACAAGAAAAAAATAACTATTACATTAGCAATAGAGCAGCAACAGATTTCTCAAAAACAAAAGTAGAAGCCAGAAGTTCATGAAGCTGAGGAAAAATCAGTAAATTTTCTGTTGCTCTAACTGAATACCTGAGACTGGATAATTTACATATAAAAAAGTTATTCCTTACAGTTCTGAAGACCAGCATCTGGCAAGAACCTTCCTGATACATCATAACTGACAGAGGACAGAGCAAGAGTGGTAGCTCAGATCTCTCTTAGTCCCTTTGTAAAACTTCTTATATCTCCTTTTCAGGAAATCTTATAGTATATTTAGCATTCTCATTCTGTTCTCATTTTTCTTGATCCATATTTTTCATTTTCTGTTTTTCCATGCTGCCATCTGTATTATTTTGTATTTAATAATCTCATCTGTACCCAACATGCTATTAGTCAGTCCATTAAATTTTTTATTATAATGACTATTTTAAATTTCTAGAT